GGTGGTGCAGCGGTGGTATCCTCCTGGGCTAGAAATGCGTGGTGTCTGTAGCATAAACCATGTTCGCTTGCTTCAGGATGTGCGTACTTATCCTTGTAAATGTGACCCGTCAAGGCGGACCAGTGTATGCACTCCGTGATGCGCAGCTCCTTGAAATAGTTGGTTGGCAGTGTGGTCGCTCTTGTCAGGTCGATGACGCCGTCTATGTCATGGAACGTATTGGCTTGATCTTTGGTTATTGAGTCACGCAGTTCATTCCATGGTTGCCTAACATGCCCGTCGGGGCGAGAAATATTCAGCTTTCACTGGTTGCTTGGGTTTTCGATCGCAGACGCTCAATTGAATGATTGCACGGCCCGCTCTTCGTTTCGCTGCCCGCTGCCTCCTTGGAACGCGTTAAGCAAGCGAGCGCGGCCATCGCAAGGTGCTGCTGGGCTCCTCGAGAACGACGCGCGCGTTGTAGATGCATTTTAATTTGCTGATGGAAAGCGACGCGACGCGCGATGCAACGGCCCTTCGGTTGGTTCGAGCGGCCCCCGAACAGACATTGAGGCCGCGTGTGCCTATAGCCGCGGCTTGATCCCGTTCAGTCAGCGCGTATTTCAAGGCGGCCCAGCAGCGTCGACGGGAATCTTCATGTCCGAACGAAAATGTGCACCGTTAAATCTCCGCAGGCCTCAGGCGCAGGACTGCGCGCGCCGCGCCGCAGATCGGTGCGCGCGCGCAATCGAGGGCGCGGCCCTGCGTCGATCGGCGCGCGCGGCGTCCGTCCCTGGAACCCCGCCAGGCCGGATCGGTGAAATGAATGTTGTTTTGGGAGGGCCAAACCGCAGAATCTTTCATGTCACCTGTCGCGGGTCTGGGTTGCGTCCTTGTCGGGGGCGGATGCGCGTGGTTTCTTGCGTGCTTCTGCGGGGGTTTCGCTCTAGGGCGTATCGGGCGTCTCTCGCGGCCTGTCGCGCTCTTCCTCGGGTTCCCCCACTGGCTCCCCCGAGGACCACGTGGAGCTATTTGGCCCACTTGCGTTGGTGAGGAAGCTCGTGGAGACGTCTCGGCGACGGATTGGGGATCTGGGTTTCACCAGGCGCCCGGGGTCGTTTCTCGGCGCGTTTCTCTTGCTGCCCTGCGTCCTCTGCTGCTTGGTCCACTGCATTCTTGCGCGCATCCTGCATCGTCATCTGCGCGAAGTACTGGTGGTACGGAGCCTGCTGCTCGTAGAAGACCTTCTGGTTCTGATTATCCGCCTGCATGTCGCTCCAGCTCTTCTGGGGCATGCCATCCTGCACCTGCTGCGCCGCGATAATCTCCGTGAGCTGGCTGGGTTGCGTGCTGGTTGTTCGGTACCTCGGCGCTGTTCTCGAACTCGCGTCATGCTGCGGCCTCTCTCCTGCTGGGTGCATTCGTCTTCCGCTGCTGCGATGGAGCTGTTCTACTGATGACTTCGGCTGGGCCGCCATAGTTTAATCGAGATCATCCTCCTACATCTCGTTCTCCTCGCTGGGGTCGTCGTGTGCCTCATTCTTTTCTCCATATCTGTCTTTCATGGGCTCTCGCAGTGCTTGCTGGGCGCGGTCGAGCTGCGCGCATGCTTCCTCGATTATGTTATCGGCCGCGATCTTCTCTGTGAAGAGTCCCTTGATGGCGTCCTTCCATCTATCCAAATGTTTTTTGGTTACCTTCCCTTCTGGCCGCTGCAGGTTTCATGATGTCCAGGGTGTACTTGATCATTAAGATATTGTGCATGAGCTCCTTCATGTTGATGTCCGCCTTCTCTGACTGGATGGCTGCTATGGACAGCTGGGTCAGCTCGGCATATGTCATGAACCTGAACGGGCGACTCAGACTGTTGTTTGTCGGGTTGTCTTCGAACTCTGCTGTAGTTTCTGCGGATTCGATCTTCTGGCCCTCTTTGGCGCGGCTCGCTCTTTGGCTCTGTGTTGATGCCATGGATGCCCTTGGTGTTTTGGAGCTCCTGCATCTTTTGACTGGGTTGGAGTCTTGGGTCTTCTCTTCGGGTCTGGCGGCGTCTCGCAAGAACACTTGTTGGCTGATGATGGGTTGCTGAGTCCACAATTCGTACATGTCCATCGCCCCGAGTGTCTTGCTTACGCCCGTGCTCCTGACTGCCCACGATGTCTAAACCTCCTCGTACCTGAGAGTTTCCCCGTCGGCTGGATGCCATGCTGTTCTGTGAATGATGTTCACGAAGTACTCTGGCTGCCGCTCCCAACCCCAATTCATCTCGAGCCAATGCCCTGGTTCGTCTCCGTCTCCTGTGCCAGGCTGGGAGCGCTGCTTCTTGTTGTTGCTGATGTTGTGGAGGGGGCTGGCCTTCTGCTGCCAGGCGCCGTTGCTGCCTGCTGCAGGGCGCGGAGGGGTGCCACCCCCGCGACTATGGCCGGGTCACGCGGGCTGCCTTGGCGCCTCGCCTGTGCGCCGCCGCGAGGGGCCTGGGACCTGTTCCCACCGGCCTCGGGCGAATACGCCCCTCCTCCTCCTCCTCCTCCTCCTCCTCCTCCTCCTCCTCCTCCTCCTCCTCCTCCTCCTCCCCCTCCTCCCCCCTCCCAGTTCGCGAAGCCGCCCCCGTCTCGCGAACGCTCGCGCAACGCTCCCTCTATGGAAGAGCTCGCGTGGATCCACGTGCGACGGGCTCGCGCCACGCCGATGCGGCGGCGGCCCCGCAGCGGGCGTTCGAGGCCGAGAACGCCTCCAATCGAGCAGTATGGGACGAGCTGGCGATCGAGATAAACCGCGGATATTTTAATGCTGAGCTTTGTACTCGCTCTTGCACGCGGGGGGAGGAGGGGGAGGAGGAAGAGGAGGTGGAGAAGGAGGCGGAGAAGGAGGGGAAGGAGGAGGAGGAAGAGGAGGAGGAGGAGGCGGAGGAGGAGGAATTGCAGGAAAAGGAGGAGGAGGAGGAGGAGGAGGAGGCAGCAAGGGATGAGCTGGCGATCGGGAAGCCGCGGACGTGTCAATGCGGAGCGATCCACGCTGTGCCAGAAAACCAGCGTTTTGTGTCGTCCGTGCACGAGCCTGCACGGCGCGTGCACGTCTCAGTCGCGCTCTCTTGGTGCTGGAGATCCGAAGCCAAGGACCGACCACGACGCTATTTAGTTTTATTTAGCTTACATCGGGCCCTTACTATGTGCTTCGTGTCGTTGCTGATTTTTGGTTCGCGTCCTTTCCTCGTGGTTGCCTCACACGCTTCGTTTTGTGTTTCGTCTCGTTTTGCACCAGTTCCGTTTGAAACGTTCGTTTCAAACGGTGGGCATTGCTTCGTTTTCCGTTGTTCGCCTCGCGGAGAGGGGGGTAGGGGGAGGGAGGAAGGGTTCGTAAAAGTACTCTTGCTTCTGCCTTCTCAGAAACAACTTCCCTCTAAGATGCCTTCCCCCTTCCCCTGACCCCCTGTGCGCGCCGCCAAGCTGTAAGCACCATGCTGTTTTCAACATCGTTGTGGCCGGTCCTTGCCCGAAAGGCAGCTCTCCCAGTGCCCGTGCGCCCCCCCCCGTCTCCAGCTCCTGGGCGCGCGCCCGCCGCCCCGCGCTCGATCTCTGGCAGGCAAGGCGGCGGCGCGGAGCAGCAGGGAGCAGCAGGAAGGGGAGGCGGCGGAGGAGGCGCTGGCTGACGGGTATGCGGCGGAGGCGGAGCAGGAGGAGGAGGAGGAGGAGGCGGAGGAGGAGGAAGAGAAGGCGGAGGAGGAGGAGGAGCAGGAGGAGGAGGAGGAGGAGGAGGAGGAAGAGGGGGAGGAACAAGAGGAGGCGAAAGAGGAGGCAGAGGAGGAGGAGGAGGAGGTGGAGGAGGATATTGATGAGGAGGAGGCGGAAAATTCGGATGATGATGATGATGATGATGATGATGATGATGATGATGATGATGATGATGATGACGATGATGATGATGATGATGATGATGATGATGATGATGATGAGATGATGATGAGGATGATGATGATGATGATGATGATGATGATGAGATGATGATGATGATGATGATGATGATGATGATGATGATGATGATGATGATGATGATGATGATGATGATGATGAGATGATTGATGATGATGTGATCGATGATGATGTGATTGATGATGAGATGATGATGATGATGATGATGATGATGATGAGATGATGATGATGATGATGATGATATGTGATGATGATGATGATGATGATGATTGATGATAGGAGGAGGAGGAGGAGGAGGAGGAGGAGGAGGAGGAGAGGAGGAGGAGAGCAGGGAAGGGAGACCGCGTTCGACGAAACCCTCAGGCCGTCAGGAACCAGGAACCAGGAGAGGAGGAGGAGGAGGAGGCGGAGGATGAGCAGGAGGAGGAGGCGGAGGAGGCGGAGGAGAAGGAGGAGGAGAGAGGAGGCAGAGGCGGCGGAGGAGGAGGAGTAGGAGGAGGAGGAGGAGGAGGAGGAGGAGGAGGAATGGGAGGTGGAGGAGGAGGCCGGAGGAGGCGGGGAGGAGGAGGAGGAGTGAGGAGGGAGGAGGAGGAGGAGGAGAGGAGGAGGAGAGGAGGGAGGAGGAGGAGGAGGAGGAGGAGGAGGAGGAGGAGGAGGAGGAGGAGGAGGAGGAGGATTACGTATGAGGGCTACGATCGACGATCTTTCCAGCCATCAGGGATCGGGAACCAGGAAGATCGTGTACACCATGGGTCGGTCGGGCGACGAGGGGCACCAGGCGCAGCAGGCACAGCTCCAGCAGCAGATCCCCCCCCCTGTGCGCGCCTCCGGAGGCCTGCCTGGACAAGAGCTGGCTGCCCCCGCCGCGCACGGCCGGGCACGAAGGCCCAGCTCTGGGGTAGATGGGGTCCTCTTCCTCCTTCTCCTCCTCCTCCTCCTCTTCCTCCTCTCCGTAGCCATTTTGGTTCAAATTTCTGCCCGAGAGCCCCGTCGGTCGGGGCCGCTCGGGCGGGGACGAGCGCCGCGCGCAGGGTCGGCGCGCGCGATGGCAGACGGCGGCGGAGGCCCCCGCGTTCGGAGCTGGTGCACACGGTGATGGGAGGTGGCTCGGAGTTGCTGTGCGGAGGGCGCTGGTGCGGCTGCTGCGGTGCGGCCACCTGGGCGCCCCCTCCCGTGCTGGGCATCATCCTGCACCAGTGGGCCGTGCAGACCCTGAAGACGTCGGTGCCGGTCCTGGGGTTGTCCTCGGCAGAAGGCGCACGGCGGCGGAGGCAGCAGCTGCTCGCCCTGGTGCGTCGTGGGCCGCCTTCGGAAGAGGTCGAGGCGGTGCGAGCATCCGATGCCGCGTCGACCGTGGCGGCGCCTGAGGAAGGCCGTTCCAGTGCGCCGCTCAAGCAGAAGGACGCGGAGGCGAAGGAGTGGAAGGTGGTGACGGGCAAGGTGAAATGTCGGCGAGGCGAGCGCTGGGACGCAGCGCAGGCCGTCGCCGACCGCTCGGCTGCGCGCTGGGCCGGCCGCGGAGATGGCCGAGCCACGCGAGGCCAAGCGTCGAGCAGCCGCAGCTGGCGCGCTGCAGCGCTGGGCGCGCGGCTTGCTTGGGCGGCGCGCGGCCGCAGCGGTGCGGGCGGCTCGCGGCGCGGCCGTGGCTGGATGCGCTGGGCCCACCGCGATGGCCCTGCCGGCCGCGGAGGCCCAGCCCGCGAGGCACGGGAGGCGCGGCAAAAAGGTAAAGGAGGATCCGAAGGGCGACGACGCCTTGCTCGGCGACGCGATCTTCCTCGCCGCGCTCGAGGCCGACGAGTTGGCACGCGCCGCGGCGGACGCCCTT